ATATTTTAAATTTCTGTTATTTGAATTCACGAGGAATCCTCTATGGTCACCTAGCCTATCCAGCTAATAAATCTGCAAATGTTTGCATGCGGTTTTGTAGAAGCTTTGGCGGTTGTGCTTAAGAGGGTGGTTCTGAGTAATAGGAGAGATCTTTTTGTGATTAGTTATGATGTAATATCCCATATATGTGGAGATAGTTACACATGCTGAAATCAAGAAAAATCTAAATGAAAATCTCCTAGCCTTCTCCTAGATTCTCCAACTTTCTCTCTTTTCCATTTCCCCCATCCCTTCTTTTTCTGCTCCGATTCTTTCCTTCTTCTCTGGTATGCTCACTCAACGAGGATCTTCTCACTATTATGATTTGGATGTTTTAAAGAGTCCTGGCAGTAATTTTTTGTTGGTCAATTAATTATTTATGGTGTTTGCTCTAATGTATGAAATTACCTTATAGTAGAGAAAATTGTGACCAAGGAAAAGGATTATAAGTATACATTTGATGAAGTGAGTACTTTTAATCTATTATATTGTTCCTCGTTAACCTTTTTGCTTATTAAGAAGCCCTGCAATTTCTAAAGATTATACCATCTCGGTTATTAATTTAATGGGAAATGCTATAGATGTCAAGCTGATTTTATTTTTAGGAGACTAACTGAAAGTTTAATACCACCTTGGTGTGTAGTTTTGGGGTCAATGCAAGCAATGTTCTCGCCATGTTTACTTTAGTTTGGCCACAAGGCTGCAAATAGAGAGTCATTCTAAATCTTCATTTTAACTGGCAGTGCACTTCAGAGTTTTAAAATCAGTAGCTGATCTAAGTTGAACAGTATAAGAAGCAGAATATGATTGATTTCTCTATTTCACATTCCTAGATTAAATAAGCTTTGATTTTCCTCTAATTTTTGGTTCTTCACATGGTAAGAGATAGAAGTGGCCTGGTGAGTTGATTGGTGGTACAATAAGTGTTACTATAAATTTATGTGACTTCATTGCAGGGTCCTCTATGCAATATATTTATTCTGATGCACTAGAAGTTCAGCTACCGAGAATACTGCCCAATGGTCATGGACCTTATTCTGTATTTCCAGCTGTCTTGATTGGCCTTTTCGGAGTTGGGGCAGTAGAAAGAGCCTATGCTGATGCTGAGGAGGTAAGCATCATTTATACCTCTGGAGCTTCGTTGGATCAGCGCTACGTGTGAACTTATCATAATATTGTATATGTGTGTGTATATATATGCATGTAGGCTTTTAGTTGCTGATTTTGATGATTTTCTTTGTCTCCAACTGCCTGTGTACACTTTTAACCATTCCTCCCAAACACCAAAAAGTAGGAATAAAGAAAGTTACCTTATAGCAGCAGTGATTGCTCCAACCCCAATTCCAACTTTTTTTTTTTGGGTTACAGTAAATGTAGTATCCACCACTTGGACCAAATCTCCACTGGGAAGATGAATATCATTTCTAATTTATTTCTAAAGAAGAGGGGAAAATTGAGGAATAAATAAAGACCTGGAAGGTAGAATATCAACATTAAGCATTAAAAGGTAGTGATAGCTTTTGAATCTCTCTCTTAGAACTGCATTTTAGTTGATTTATTGTTTGCTTAGCTTTCTGTAGGCTGCTGCTAAACCTCCGTTGTCATCGGAATCTCCTACAAATTATGCAGATCTGGAGGAAATTGCCAAGAAAGAACGGCAGCGTATTGAAGAACTACTAAAAAGTAAAGGAATTCAGCATGGTTCTTATCCACGGTTTACTGTTGCTGTCAAGGGTCAAAAGGTTGTCGTATTCTTCTTTCTTTCTCTTTTTTTTAGTTGTTTTTTCTTTTCAGCTATTGCGGCCTTATGAGAGTCCAGACTTTAAGTTAGTAGCCTCTCAGTGCTACTTATTTTTGAATTACTGGTTTTTGTAGTGTCTTTATTTTAGCAGCTGAAAAGATGAAAATGAAAGAAAAGAAAAAATTGATAATCTCTCTTGTCTGGTATAAACATATCTATACTAGGTTCTTTTTTTTTTCTTTTTCTTAGATTACTATGTATATTTTTCTAAATGCAGGTA